GTGTCAACCTGCGAAACTATTCCCATACAAGTTCGATTATACGTGGTAATATTCGAATTTTCATGGTAAACAACCTCTATTTTTAGATTAACCGCGCCTATTAAAGCTTTTTTAATACAAAAAATCTTGAAAATAATCACAAGTCTTTCGAAACTGGAAAAAAGAAAACCACAATATCTCTTAGTTTGGAATTGTTGGGGTTTTATCGTATACTCTATCATCGACTTTGATTTGTGCAAAAAAACGCTAAAAAAGCACACCAACTTTTTACCTGAAAACATTGCAATATAATTGACCCTGAAGTTTTTCTAATGGTTAATGTCCCATATCCAGTCTTTTTAATTCCTAAGACAAACGATTAGTTTTTGTCCGACTACAATAAATGGAGCGTTAATTCCATAAGATGAAAATCAATAGGTGGAGGTGCTTTTTTGTCTGGCCTTTTTAATAAACCGGCTTTTTAGAAGAAGCAAAATATTCATTTGTAACTCAATCTTGTTAATAAATTCAGTACTTTGTAAATGTTTTCAAGGTAAAAGTTAAGCCGGTTGAACCTTATTTTTGATCTTCTGAAAACTGACAGATAGTTGCCAACCTGAAGCAAATGGAGTAGTGTATGCTTCTCAGAAAACGTCGGTCAAAGAAAAATTTAATCAAATAGGGCTTTGAATTTTGATAATATCAAATCTGTCTAGAGCCGTTAAAACTCTTTTTACTCTGCTTTTACTGCAATTTATTTTTTTAATTCGTCATTTCAGGTTCAAATTTTTTGAAACAATTTCGGAAGTTTAGCTGCAACATACTACAGTGCTGATTTAAATTATCCGGACAAAACGAACAAAACTTGAATTTTCAAACGCGTTTTTCTCAAATTGGGTTAAGATTAGACAAAAAGTGAAGAGGACAAAAGTTGCTTAGAATTTCACCAGAATTAATATGGTGCCATTTTTTCTCCGAAATTCTCAACAAAAATTTTACCCCAAAAATGGGTCATTTTGGCTTTTTTCAATTAATCAAGAATTACGCTGAAACTACTTTGTTAATTGATATGAAAATTATATCACAGGAAGCCTCTTACGCAGCTCAACAAAGTTTAAGAAGGGTTAAATCTCCAAAACCAGTATAAATGAAAAAAATTTTACTTGATAGTCAATTAATGTGATTTTTAGTATATAAAACTCAGAATCTGTTTAAAAATAAATTTTATACAATTCGCGCAAATTTTTGGAGATTTAACCCTTCTTAAACTTTGTTGAGCTGCGTAAGAGGCTTCCTGTGATATAATTTTCATATCAATTAACAAAGTAGTTTCAGCGTAATTCTTGATTAATTGAAAAAAGCCAAAATGACCCATTTTTGGGGTAAAATTTTTGTTGAGAATTTCGGAGAAAAAATGGCACCATATTAATTCTGGTGAAATTCTAAGCAACTTTTGTCCTCTTCACTTTTTGTCTAATCTTAACCCAATTTGAGAAAAACGCGTTTGAAAATTCAAGTTTTGTTCGTTTTGTCCGGATAATTTAAATCAGCACTGTATTATGAGACAAAAGTTTTAATTGTGCATTTACTTTGAGCCGGTATCTACTTAAGCGTTTAAAATCTTTTTGTCAACTTAAGGACGTGGGATTCATGTGCCAATGAGTTTGTTTTCATCAGGTGTGCGTGTGCGCAAAGCGTAAACTTTATTCAGGGGGTTGTTCTGAGCACTATTCAGCCATACAACAGTCTATGTTTTAGCATAATAACCACAACATTTTAAAATTTCACAAACAGTTTCTACTTGTTCCCAGAGTGAGAAAAATATATTTTGTTATTACTCCGTAAATATCGGGCTAAAAATAATTGATTAAGTCAGACGAAAGAAGAGCGACCACCCTCTGGGTCCAGACAGTCCCCTAGCCCCTTAAGTACTATTTGACGCAAGCTATTGGCATTAAATGAAGTCACTCAAAAGTTTAGACAGTCTGGATTAAACAAGAGCAGCCGACAAGAACTGTCGGTGCCCAAGTGAAAATTGTGTATCACACTTCTTCTTTTCTAAGCGCATCAATAATTTTTTGATAATGCTTTTTCAGAAGTGGGAAAAATTATGATGTAGAACGGGGAATATTTCGTGCATTTTTGTGCCTCAAAAAGCCTGAAGGTGGTCAAAAGTAGTATCAGATGAAATCCATTTCAGTTGAACTTGGAGTCTGAAACTTCGATTCAAACGTATAAATGGGTTATTTTGGGTGAAAATGATGAAGATAAAAATTAGTTTAAAATTTTAGAACTTTGAATATGGTGTAATTTGTTTTCAAAAGTTCGGTAGAAAATTTCACCCCAAAAAATATCATTTTTGGCGTTTTTTGGTCAATCAAACAGTACGACAAAGTGTGGATTCAATTCCTTACAAAACTATATCAAAAAGATCCTCTCACACTGCCAAACAAAAATTAAAAAGAGTACAATCTTCAAAAATTGGCGCAAATAGTTACTGAAAAAAATTACATTAAAAATGATGTTTTATACAATGTAAAAAAGATTTTTTTTGGCTATCAAACAAAAATAAATTAGCTTACACGAATTTTTAGGGATTGTTTTTTCCATTAATTTTGTTGGGCTACGTAGGACGCTCACTTTGATATAGTTTTTTTTCAGGAATTGAAGCCATACTTCCTTCATAATTTTGATTGACCAAAAAACCCAAAAACAATTCTTTTTTTTCTATAAAATTTTGAGCCCAAAATTTGCCAAACAAATGACACCATAGTTAATCTGCTCAAATTCATTACGAGGCCAAACCTTGCACTGTATGGGCGCGTGAAGAATTTTGTGTTGTATGTTCCTGGATTCCAGAGACAAATCTTTAAACGTCTTAAAATTGAGTCGGAACGGTCGAAGAGAATGAAAAAACAAACGAAGAACAAAGGGAGCGTCCTTGTTGTGGAATCCGCTTACAATTCACAAAATGCACAGTTCAGTTTGGCGTCGTAATTTTCTAAGCAAGTTTTTTTCATCTTTTTCTAACTAAATTCAAATTAATCTGAGAAAAAAACGCGTTTAAAATTTCAAGTTTTTTGAGTTTTTTCGGATAATTTAAATCAGCACTGTATATATATTAAGACATTACAAAAAATCTTCCAAAAAAAAAAAACGTGGGAGAATTTTTTTTTGCAAGCCGTAATTGGCAGCGGTTTAGAAAGCGACAGTTTGTCGAATACCAATATAAAACAAGACTGCTCGTATCAGGGCGAAGCCCCAAATGTTCAGACTACTTTTCAAACCAACGAAGTAATATTCAATTCCAAAAATTTAAGAGATTTTTTTTTTCGAAAACCAATAACATACACGCTAGGTAACCTACACGCTTTTGGCATTTCTAGCCACTCTAACCACTTTCATCGGCGTTTCTAACGGGCGACAAGCAACAAAAAGCAACATAGGAACAGGAAGAAACCTTTGATGACTTTGCTTACCTTTTTTGATGCCTTTTTAATGAACATTTTTTAAAGTCGAACAAATTGATTTTCTGAGATCTCTTAAAACACCATAAAAAAATTTTGGCAACAAAAAAAACGTTCCAACAGGCAAATTTTTCTAAAACAGTTTTTGGGCTTTTTTTGAAAAGTTTTGACCAAAAACTCCCGTTTTTGACGGGTGGTTCCCCTCAAAATTAGTATATCATTGGCCCCGTGGTTATTTTAGGAATGGGTGTCTCACTATAAAACTAAAGCAAGGCGGGATCCTTTTGGTTTCTTATAGTCTGAGTAATCTGGAACGTATTTTTTACCCACTCGTTTTGAGTCTTGCAAAGCTGTGCTATAATTGTCCAATGTTTTATTAGATCATACTACGTCGGCGTAGACTAGACAAAGACAAAACTGGGTAAACCACAAGAAGACTAGTCACTTTTCTCCAGAAGTCATTATATTTCTTATTGGTATTGGACCTCGTTAACTATCCCCCTAAATGATACCTAGCCACGAATTACCCCCGTTGCTTTAGGGGGGACAGTCAAAGAAATATTTCTGATTCAATTTCTGCAGTGGTCGAAGAGCATATGCTACCAGTTTGGACAAAAAGCCCATATCTAAACCCCCCAGTTTGTATATGATAAGAGGCATAGTGATAAGAGGATCAATATATCTGCTCTTTCAAGATGAAGAGAGTATCTCATAATACCCTGCCTCGCACTCTGTTTAAACGACATTGACTTTTATTGACACTCACACTTTGAAGTAAATTGCCAGCCATTAATGGCCTTAACATGACCTGTTTATGGCCACGTCACTCTGTGTTTCTTTTATTTACGGCATTCAAAAGCTCATTTAGCCAACACAAACGCAAGTAAAATGAAAACTACTTTCATTTCAGTCAAAAAAGTCAAAAAGTAGAAAACTTTTGACTCTGGGGTCAGAAAGATAAGTTTTCTACTTGTTAAAAACTTATCCCAGATAAGTTTTCTACTTGTTAGTCAAAAAGTAGAAAACTTATCTGGGGACAAACACGTAAAATTAAGTTTTGGTAAATGGGGCCACTTTTGCAGGAAGGAATGTTCTTCATTTCAACTGCTCAGATGGCAGCCGACATTTTTCGCAATTTAGTTTTTATAAGAAACGCTTTGCTAAGAATGTAAATTGACATCTCACGACAAGAAAATTATGTTTGACAAAAGTTTTCAAACAAAAAACTGACATTCTTAAGAAGAAAAAGGGATTTTGTTGTATGAAATTGAAATTTTGCGCAACTTCTCTATTTGTTTCTGATCGGCTTTTTCAGAATAATGAAATTTTTCAGAATGAGTTTTTGCAATCCGCTTCAGCGATTACTATCGGTTCAAATATGATTTCAAATAACGAGCGGTTGACATTTATGGAAGAAAAACTAATAAAGGTCTTGCCAGTGTTATTATAGCGCATTTATGACACGTGTTTATTTTTTAATTTAGTTACAAATGGGGCACTTGTCGCTTGGAAACAAACTAAAACCATAAGAAAACCCTATCCGGCTTGTTAGATCTTATTAAATTAAACAACTTGGTTCATATATTGAAGGGTTGCCGGTTGAAGTTTGCTCTAAAAGTCCTTTGCATAAAACTCTTCTTCGCCACAGTTCACAGAGAAATATACCAATTACTTCTTATTTTTTGAGAGACTGTTTGTTTATAGCTTAACGAGACTGCTTGTATCAGCGTGAAGCCCTGAATGTTTCGAATGCCCTTCAACGTATTGGAAACAGTTTTTGAAAACATCAAGTAAAAAACAATGATTACCGATGATTTTCAAAAACATTAGTTTTCAAAAACATAACTTTCCGATAACATGAAGCGAAAAACAATAAAGACAGCAAATTTCAAATTAAAATTTCAGATTCCCCACAAACGCTATGCCGATTATAAACTGATGTTCTTGGAATCTTTACCTCAAATAGTTTACCTCAAGACAATTTAGAACGTGTTAATTGTCCCTAATTAGGCAAGTTGACAAATTTCAAACCTTGACCTCAAGATAGCAGTACTTTTCAAATGATATAAAAAAGCTCCGTCCACAAATGGCTTGTTAAAAATTCTAAATTGGTCGGGAACAAAATAAAAACCACCCGGGCACAATAAAAATTTCATCATTTTTTTTCGAAAATCTAAGCAACTAGCGGAGTCTTGAATAATTGCGCTTCAAAATTGCGCGTAAAACCTTATACGAAGTTTTTAAAGAAGTTTTTAAATAGACAAACACATCATACTTTATATTTGTTCTCTTCTATCATTAAAGGAAAAATTATATCAAAACACTTAAAACAATTAACAAATTCAATTCAATAACTTATTCTCAAGAATCCTCATGATGATATTATAGTTCACTGCAGTCAATGATGTTTATTTCTGATAAATACTTCAATAGATGCAAATCATACGACAGCTCGCTAACAAACATGCTAACAAATACGCTAACAAATATGCTAATCATATAATTTTCATACAATGTGTATGACAAGCATTTTCAGGAAAAAGCTTGTCATACACATTTTATTCACAAAAAATAGCTGGAAAGTCTATGCTTAGTAATTTTTCATGAATGGAAACTGTGTGAGTAGCTATTTTTCATATACAATTTTTTTTTTCTATTTCATTTAAGCACAAGTGACTAATACCCTGTACTCCAAGCTTGAGTCTCTAAAAAAAATAACGGTCTTACGTACCATGCATCTGAAATGACCTGAATACAGATGTCTCACAAAAACATTATAATGAAAATGGCCAACTTAAAAAGTTCGGCAAAAATTTTGGCATACATTTTCATACCTGCTATTTTTTCTGATTTGATTTTTAAGTTAATCATGCATCACAATAAGGCATACAATAATACGCAAGATAAAAGACATAAAGTTTTTGAGCGCTATCAAAAGAGCGTTGTCAAGAAAGTTTGTCAGAAAGTTTTCATAAGATACTTATAGCAATAAAAAACTCATCAAATTTGGTTTAAGTTGTTTTTCTAGGACCATAATTAAATCTATAAACTCAAAGCGTTTTTCTGGGGCCTTAAACAGATCTAAGCTTCATAGCCCAGAAAACCTGTTTAACAACACAGTCTTTTTTCAATAAACGGATGTGTTATCAACCAGAATACCGTTGAAGATGAGGTAACACACAAAAACCTACTTTGTTAATCGGACTATGTGACTAAAGGAAATTAATTTTGTATTCAGTTGTCCTTTAAATTTTTTTTTTCATTACGGGGCCGAATTGTTCACTGGATAGGCTCACAATTTGGTTTTGTATGTTACTGGATTCCGGAGACAAGTCTTTGAACATGAAGTCTTTGACAAGTCTTTAAGTAGAATCCACTCACAAAATTTCCGTGAATTCCGCCTGAAAAAACTCAACAAAAATTTTACAGCATAATAGTTTTGTTGCAGATTCCTCAAATGTAAATGTATTCATCAAGATGAAGTAAGTGGATTCACCAGCTTTTTGCGGATTCCGCTTACAATTTGCGGGTTCCGCCTCCAGTTTGCGAAATCAACTTACAGTTTGCGGAATCCACGATAGCTTAAGTGTACTTTTATGAACATATTTTTAATTTTTTTTGTGGGTTTTTCAAATTGTTCCCTATTCCGCAGATTTGGCTGTGGATTTCACAAATTTTGTTCCAGATTCCGCAAGTGTTTTGAAGCAAACAGTGCTTTAGCTAAGTGTCCGTGTAATCCAAAACAGCAAGGAAGATCAAAACGAAATTGCCATGTTGCAGATTTCGCAAAAATTTTGTTCTTGGCTTGTTGAGGAATCCACTCGAAAATCGCGAAGTGCACAGTTTAGCCTCGTAGTGTTTTTTGTTGTTTTCCTAGCGCAATTAGGTACCAAAAATACTCGAAGGTATTGATCTTTGATCTTTGCCCCGAAAATTTACCTTTGTTTTCCATCCGCAAAACGAGTTTTCCATTCAAACAAGATTTTCAAACAAAAATTTTTGCATGCGTAACATAGTCCTGGAAACACAAAATTTGGGATTCTTTTCTCTGGATAAATTTTATCAAAAACGCTCAAAATGCCCTTTTTATTGCATAGCATGTTTATCTATGCCTCGATCAATACCGGGTTAATTGAAATTCAATTTCAAAAACTATCTTCTCTGAAAGTTTTTGCCACAACTCAAAAGATTGATACTTTTCTTATAACATTTTGTTAGACAAGTCTAAGTCAATTCAGATTATTTTCAATGCGATGTAAAAACCAGACAGTCAAAATTTTTCGACTCTAGTTTTGAGTTGAACAAGGTCTTTGTCACGCCTGTTCGGTTACTAACCCAGCCCTAAAAAATTTAGAAGGTAAGTTTTAAAAATAAAAACTCTATTTTTTTGTTTATGGAAAAGCGCTAGTCACACAATCTCCATAGATGAAAAATCACTTACCATAGACTTTTCGTTCAACTAAGAAATTGTTTTGTACTTAAAATTTTGCTTGGGAAGTGTATGATTAACATTTATTTATATATGAAAATTTTATAGCTAGCATTTTTGGTGAGCATTTTTATCGAAATCAAAGAGGACAAGGTTTGTGGAGCAAAATTACGGTGGGTAATTGGTATGATTTTTAGGGTTGCTCCTTCTTCCATGTGGCCACATATGCATTACATGCATTTTTTGATAATTGTTCTCTTATAAATACTAGGAAAGTGAGAATGAAATTCTAACTGATTCCTCATTTTAACTAACTAGTTCCATATTAAATACTTTTTGTTCAGTAATTTTCCTGTTTTTGGTTTGATCACTCTCAATTAAAAATGTATCTATGCATTTGGCTTTTTAAGGCATTCTTTTTTGTATTTTGGATCCAAAATTGAGTTCTCGCGAAAAATTGTTGGAAACGTTTCCTGTTTGAGACTAAATCTCCACAGAGGAACGCATAAAAATAGAAACTATGTGAGCTAGTTTTCTCTGTCTTCAATCTTGTGATTGCGAAGAATGAAGGCGTGTTTCAATCACCTTTCCTACAAATTGCGGCCTGAAACTTCGCGAAACAAAACTTTCAAAATTTTGTATAACATCAAAACAACTTTAAAAAATTATAAAAAAACCACAAAAACCGGTATCTTTAAAACCACAATTAATCCCTTTTTTTTTGAAAAAGTGAAGAAATTTGCGTCAAAACATTAGAAATATTTCATTTTTTTTTCAATCCGAATACACATTTTTTTCAGAAATAGCGTGTCAAGAGAATAAGAAGTGAATTTGAATTTTACGTCTCTGAATGAAAAAATATTGCAGTGGAAAATAATTGTTTGATAATTACACAAGACTGCTGGTATATCAGGGAAAAGCCCTGAATGTTCCGACTGCACTTAATGCCATTTGAAAGGTTTTGTTTTGGCGTAGATGAGTACATCTGAAGAGAGTGCAGTGCCTTGCTTTTGGTGACCTGCAGATTGTAGCTCGCACTCGCACCACTCAATAATTGGCAAAATATTTGAGAAAAAAAATTTCATTGAAAACTTTCTACATTTTATCTCTCTCGCTCTTCATTTTATCTCTCTTTCTTCAAAATTTTTTTATTAAAGCATGTTGATGCTATTTAGAATGCTAAGGCTGTGTTTACCGTTTTCCTTTGGGATACTAGGATTAAATTGCCTTCCTCAATTAAATTCGCAATTAAATTTTTAGCGTGTTATAATACGCAATATATTGCACTTTAATTATCCCATATTGGACAAATTAGCAACTTTCAATTGCCCGTAACTTCACAAAAAATGATATATCTTTTTAAATTTTAGCTGAGGGTAACAATATCTCTCGGATGGTATCAAAAAACTCGCTTAGTAAGCATGTCGAAAATTGACTAAATGAAAAAACCGCATAAAGCATAAATATTCCGCACTTTCTTTGAAAGTCGAACCAATAATGATGGTTTTTTCAGCATGGCAAGAGATACATTTTCGGAATATTGATTCAAAATATGAGTAGCGTTCAAGAAATGAATATGGAACAATTTTATATGACTAGGACAATGTTATATGACTTAGCACAGTGGTAAGGCGTTCACTTTGAAATCGTCAGATCGTGTATTCGATCCCATGCCATGGCAAGGATGGTGTGTGTGAGGACAAGCTCTCACTTGACCTCCAGCTTCAGGTCTACCACAACCTGACCAAATTTGGCTGCAATAGTGGTACCACGTAAAAGTTCTAGACCCAAAAAAAACGGTCTTCAGTCGCAAAAAACAGCTTCGCTCAGCAAAATAACACTGTCTGGAATGTGGGGAGATAATACAAATGGACTATCCTCGACAAGACTGTTAAGGCCTTCTGATAGCTCCTCTGCGACTCTCAGGAGCTACAATTATTATGACTGATTTATGATGTTTTTTAGTGTACCTGAAAGCTTTAACCGCAATTCTTTATGTTATTTATGAGCCAATGTTTCTTAGGGACACAACAGCAGTTTCTATAAAGAGCTGCCATGCTCGTATGTTGGTCATTTTTTTCATGAATGAAAATGTCTGGTAGTCGGAAAAAACCTGGATTGAATTTTGGGTGGCG